AGCGTTCACTCTTTGGAGAATAACGATATAATAAAAAGAAGGTATAATATGTTTTCGTAAAATGAGCACAAGAGGATAAAAAAATGCTTTCAAATTCTGAAAATAACTGATTTACCAATCGAACGACGCAAAGGGTTATTATTCCGCTAACCTTACTATTATTTTTAGTAAGTTTCATTACACCGGGTGATATTGTTGTGCTGGTAGAAGGTGACAAACGGAACAAATGACAATGTACATGAACTAATACGTTCGTTATCTTCTTTAGACATAAAGCTATTCATAATTACATATATCAAGAGCGTTATTTCAAAACTTATTAAGTTCAAAACATCAAAAATTGAGATTTTAACTGCATCGTATAACCGCATCGTATAACAGTCCGCTTTAAACGATGTAATCGTTCATATTCTACAAAATATGGCCAAGTTTTTAGTGAAAATTATGCATGCTTTTAAGTTGTTTCCAAAAAGAACGTAAGTCCAAAACAAATTTATTTCAAAATTTCAAATAATTTTCTAGGCTATGATTGAAACTGCGCTTGAATTAACTTCGTTTTCTTAACGTGTCCCATCCCTAAGGACATTGACGATCATCATGGCCCATTTGACTCTATTTGCAGCCGTTCTGAATAGCTCTATTGCCGTTTTCCCTCTCCATTGTCTCAGATTCTTCAACCAAGACGTGCGTCTTCTCCCCGGTTAATGAGTCTTTTCTCTGTCGCCTCTGTAATTGTCCAGGCCTCAATTCCATACAACAGGACAGAGAACACGTAGCATCTGAATACTCTAGTTCTAATTTCAATGTTGAGTTTTCCATTGCATAATATTGCTTTCATCTTATTAAAAGCACTTCTATCTATCTCAATACGCCGTTTTATTTCCATACTTCTATCCCATTCTTCAGTTAGTTCGCAGCCTAAGTACCAGATATCTGTGCACTCTGCCTAAAAGTTTTCCTTTAGCATAAACACTGTATTCCTCAATCTTGTTCTTGCTTAGCACCATGATTTTTGTTTTATTTGTATTTAGTTCCATTCCATACCTTTCACAGTATCGGATAATGCAATCAATCAAGATCTGTAGTCCTTCTCTGCTGTCTGCAGGAGTATTGTGTCATATGCGTATCTAAGATTATTCAGAAGTGCTCCGTTAATAAATATGCCTTCATTTATGTCTTCTAACACCATCAAAGAGCGCAAACTAGAATATCTTGGCCATGTTATGAGGAATGAACAGAGATACGGCTTGTTGCAACTCATTCTTCAGAGCAAGGTATTTGGAAAGAGAAGACCAGGAGAAGAATAATATCTTGGCTTCAAAACCTGAGAAAGTGGTTTAATACATCGACAACTGGATTATTCAGAATAGCAGCAAGCAAAGTTAGGATAGCCATGTTGATCGCCAACATCCGGAACGGATAGGCACCGTAAGAAGAAGAAGAATGCCTCTTTAAACAATTCTTCTAAATACATATTAAAAATTAAAGGGGAAAGCACACATCCTTGTTTTACTTCACAATTTATAGGTATTTCTTTCAATTTTTGTTGGTCTATTCTTATTATGGCTTTCTGATATCTATATAGTAAAGATATAGATAATATTAAAGGCACAATAACCAAGCTAGAAATATTGGAAACAGCTGAATTGGACGATAAAGATCTACAAATAATTACAAATCTATACTGGCATCAAGTGGCAAGAATAAAGGTTGAACAAGAACTGTCGGATGAAATAAATATAAAAAGAGGAGTGAGACAAGGCTGTATATTGTCGCCTTTACTTTTTAATTTATATTCGGAGGAAAATATTTAGGAAGCCTTAATAGAGACAACCATAGGTATTATTGTAAATGGAGTAACCGTCAACAATATTAGATATGCCGACGATACCTTAGTCCTTGCTAATTGCGGAGAAGACCTTCAAAATCTAATAAACAAAATAAAACAGACTTGTGATCAGTATGGATTAAAACTCAACGTTAAGAAAACTAAATATATGATAGTTAGCAAACAAGATTATATACAGGATGACGGTATAAAAGTCGGAGATGTGACACTGGACAGAGTAGAGAAACTCGTGTATCTCGGCAGCAGTAATATTAATGAGAGCTGGGATCCAACCGCAGAAATTAAAAGCCGAATAGAACAATCCCGAGCTTTCTTTGTTAAAATGAGAAACGTACTTTGCAGTCACGATATTAGCATTGACCTTAGAGTTCGTATGACATCTTGCTACATCTTTCCTGTCCTGCTGTATGGAGTGGAAGCGTGGACTCTAACTAAGGCTATGCTTAAACGCTTGACAGCCTTTGAGATGTGGGTATACAGACGACTACTGAAAATAAGCTGGGTGACAGAGTTAGAAATGAGGAGGTCCTTAGACGGCTGAGGCAAACAACACAACTGGTCAATATAATAAAGAAACGCAAGCTGGAATACTTCGGTCACATTATGAGACACCCTGAAAAATATGATCTTTTACATCTGATTATACAGGGAAAGATCCAAGGTAATCGTGGTCCTGGTAGACGAAGAACATCATGGCTGAAAAATCTAAGGCAATGGTATGGAAAATCAACTACATCGTTATTTAGAGCTGCTGTCAATAAAGTCACGATAGCGAATATGGTAGCCAACATGATATCCAACGATCGGTAACGGTCATGAAACTAGAAGAAGGCAATAACCAAATGCCACAACAGTTCATTTAAAAAAAGTTTCTGCTGTCAATTCAATTGACAGCAACAGATAAATGGAGGAAAGTAGAGGAGATCTTGAGAAATATCACAGAACAAAAACTTCAAGAAGACACATCATCTAAGAAATAAACAATGGATCACACAAGAGATAAAATTACTGATGATGAAAGGAAGGGCACACAAGAATAAAAAGGAACAATAGTACAAAAAAATTAATAAAATAACAAACAGAAAATCAAAGAAGCTAAGACACTACGGCTATTAGAAAAGTGTGAAGAAATATAAAGGTTAGATAAACAATATGACAGTATACAGACATACACCGAAAATCAAAGACACATCTGGTATATACAAGAAGGTCATGGGACCAGATGAAATACCTACAGAAATCTTAAGAATATTAAAAAAAAATCATATGAGCACACTAATAGAATTATTTAATGACATTTATTATACCAGGAGAGATTCCGAAAGAATGGTTAATATCAATATTTATTTCAATACCCAAAAAATTAGATGCATAAAGTGTGACGAGTACAGGACAATTAGTTTGATGAACCATATTCTAAAAGTGTGCTTACGAGTGATACACGAACATATCTATAAAAGATAGATAATAGAAAAGCTGAAAACCAATTGGAATTCAAAAAGGTTTTGACACCAGAAAAGCATTATTTACTATACAAACACTAATCGAACGATGTCAAGATGTTAATTGCGACGTATTCATATGTCTAGTCGACTTTGAAAAAGCTTTCGACAAAATACAACACCGAAGAATGGCAAAAATATTGCAGAACACAGAATTAGACAACGAAGACGTGAGAATAATAATTGTCAATCTATACCGATATCAGAAAGCCATAATACGAATAGACCAAGAAAAATCGAAAGAAATACCAATAAATCGTGGAGTAAGGCAAGGATGTGTGCTTTCCCCTTTACTTTTTAATATGTATTCAGAAGAATTGTTTAAAGAGGCATAAGAAGACGTAAATGAAGGCATATTTATTAACGGAGCATTTCTGAATAATCTTAGATACACAGAAGACACAATACTACTTGCGGACAGCAGAGAAGGGCTACAGATCTTGGATGATCGCATTACCCAATACTGCGAAAGGTATGGAATGGCACTGAATACAAATAAAACATGAATCATGGTGGTAAGCAAGAACAAGATTGAGAAAGACGATGGTTATGCCAAAGGAAAACTTTTAGACAATGTGCACAGATATCTGTAATTAGGTTGCGAACTAACTGAAGAATGGGACAGAAGTATGGAAATAAACGTGCGTTTTCTCCCCCGGTCCATAAAAATCTAAGATAATGGAGTGGAAAAACGTCAATAGACCTTTTCAGAACGGCTGCAGATAGAGTCAAATGGGCCATGATGATCGCCAATATACAGGAGGGAGGGTCTCCCTGGCGCAACCCGTTATTTGTTTTAGAAGGTTCAGATAGTTTCCCCCTGAATTCGTACTCTACATTCAAATTTTTCAAGAGTTAGTTTTTTTTTCTGTTAACACGGCTTTACAGTCTATAACTATGTGATGAGCATTAATGCCATATTCCAGATTTTTTTCTAAAATTTGTTTCAGGGTTGCAATTTGATGCTTAGAGGTTTGAAAGGCCAAATGAGGCAGTTGTTCCCGAAAATAACGCTAAAAATTCTTATCAACAACCGCAAGATAAAATTGCAAAAGATAGCTGATATTCTAAAGTTATCAAAGGGTACTGTTTTTCCTAATGCGTGCCGTATTTTCTCACATGAAAGCAAAAATATCCACAAACTGATGAATCTCGAAGGTATTTGTACGCGGTCCAATTGGAATTGGAAGTCAATTTTTGACATATATATATATATATATATCACAATAATTGAAACAGGAGATAAATCCGCAGACATCTAAGTAGACAACATTGACTATTTGAAATATTTGAAGGGAAACAATCAAAAGCGACTGCTACATTGATTTATTAGAGCGTTAGAAGATCGAAATCGCAAAGAAAGGTCTCATTTGTTGAACAAAATAATTGTTATTTCACTAATAAAACGCAACTGTTATAAGTCGATGAAAAAAATTGTAACAATATACGAAATGAGCCTGATTCGGCCGTTAATGTAACAAAAATTATTTCGGCCGTCAAAGAATTAATAAGCACTTAGCAATAAATATTTTTATAGCTTTTTTTGTGACATCGTTAACTTTAATTTGAGTTATTATAAATTATTCACTTTCAACCGATTTTCGCGACTTTAGCAATTTTTATTTAATAATGATATAATTCTAACTTACTAATGGCACTGCGTTTATTGTTGATATCACATCAGTTAACTTCCTAAGACTATTCTCGTCATCGAAATAATACAACTTTCGATGTTGGTAACTAACTGTATAATTATCCTCATGCCACAATATATTAATCTTCTCTTTAATCTCCTTGAACCTATAAGGTCCCACTTCTTGAAATTCCGGCTTGGCCGAAATGTTATAGATTTGTTCAGGATTTGTCCAATTGAACAGGTAGATGTCCATGATGAGAGGAGGATCGTTGGTGTTCCACGCTTTATACGGTCGTGAGGTGGGTGTGAATTTGAGGACTTCGGCAAGAATGAATTCGTAGATAGCCTCGAAGAACACGAAGATGGAGACGCCGGCTCCGATGAGGAGTAGACCCAGGACTAGGAGACATATTTGGCCGATTTGTCGCCTCCGTCGTTTCATCTTCGAGTTTCTGAAATACAAAAAACCAAATTAGCATGTAAACAAATTACGGACATTAGAAGAAAAGCATTTGTAATGTATCTTAACACGATAGAAAGTTGATTTTGGCCTAATAGGCCAGTAAAAAAAAACATCTAAGAAAATCGTATACAGGTTTTTGAAGAAGGTTCTAAAAGATCTTTGTTACGGAAATGAAGCTCAGAGAGACCTGTCACAGAAGTGTCTTCTCCAGAATAGTTTGTTTGCTATGTTGTAAAAGACCTCGGACATTCCGTGTAGCTATTTTCTATGATTTATGAGCATAAAGCTTCGTTTTTCGCCGGAATCACATTTTGTTTGTAGATCCTGATTAATTACGTCTTTCAAACATTCCTTACCGGACAAAAAAATGCATCGGTGCCATCCGGATCACGAAGCTCGAGGCCTTGCAGCTATTGCTTATAGCAATAAGTACACACTATGCACTATCTTGAGACTGCATAGCGCATGAATGTAACGTCCTAACATGTGAAAGGTGACACAAGGTCTCATTTCATAAATAGAGGTTAAGGAATTTAGATTAGATTATGATGACACTGTTTTACTGAATGTAATAATAATAAAGATGTACAACATTTATTACATGGCGCAGTCTTGTAGTTAATAAAGCCTGCTGTTTCCAAACTACATGAAAACAAGAGTTGTTAGAATTAGAACAATATGGAGTTTAGAATACCTCAACCATTATCATTTGAAGGTAACGTGGCTGAAAACATATGGCGATTCAAACAGTCATTTGAAATTTACCTCTTGGTCAGTGACAAGGCTGACAAGGAAGATACATTAAAAATTGCTTTACTGTTAAATTTTTAGAGATGAAGAACTTGATATGTTTAACACCTTAAAGCTAACGGATGCATAGAGAAAATCATATGACATAGTATTGGGTGAATTAGAGAATTACTTCACCCCTAAAAAGAATGTGATCTATGTGTGAATGTGAAATATTTTTATTCTACAATAGAAAACAAGAAGAAGGAGAGTTATTTAATACTCACCTACCTGGCTTGGGTAAATTGACAAAAAATTGTGAATTTGGAGATGTTAGACGGTGGAGAATAGACTTAATGATCAGGGATAGACTAGATTTAGGAACAATCAATAAAGTATACAGGCAAAAATGTAGCAGAATTATGATCTAACTTTACAAATGGCAATACACATGTATAGAGCATATGAAATTTCAAAAATACAGTTTAAAGAAGCTCAGTCAAGTCAAACACAATATTCATTCTCTAAAAGGGGGAAATTTTAATAAAACAGCAAGGGGAAAAGCTTCGAATAACAACTTTAATACTGGAAGAAGCAAAAGATGGAAACAGGTGGAAAAGTGGTCAGTGAAGAAAACGTGGTCGTGCTCGTGAGTTCCGAAGGTGTCCAGCATTGGGGAAAATGTGAATAAGTGTTTGTATTACAACCATTAAAAAAAAAAGAAAAATAACAGGAGCATAAAAGAAGTTTAGGAGATTCAAGAAGTAGATATGAACAGTAAACAGGAAGAATTTACGGTAACATCAATTGAGGTAAATGAAGTAAGAGGAAATAAGGAATGGTTTGAAAGGTTAGTAATTGAGCAATATGGAATAGACTTTAATAGATACAGGTTCACAGTTTAACATTAAATTAATCTACTTTTTGTATAAACTAAATAAAAACATGAGATAAATCAGTGCAAAATAAGGATGGAAGCTTATGGGGAATTTAAAATAAAACCTTTGGGTATTATTACGCTAAAATGTTCATTTAAAGGAACATATTTTGAACTAGAATTTTATACCAAATTTATCGGATGTATTAGTACCATTAAGAGAATTGTTAAAAAAGAATACAGTTTGGATGTGGACTAGAAGTCACACACACTAATTTAATTAAATAAAAAAGGTAATTTGCTCACCACCAGTTCTTGCAAATTTGGATGTAACTATTCCAATAATAATTCAAACAGATTCAAGTCAAAATGGTGTTGGATGTGTATTATTACAAAATCTCAATCCTGTATCTTTTTCTTCTAGATCTTTAACCAATTGTGAAACCAGATTTAGCCAGATTGAAAAGGAACTAAATGCAATCCTATTTTCTTGTAATAAAGTTTATAATTATATTTATGGTAGAGAAGTTAAGGTTTTCACAGATCATAAGCCATTGATTTCGATAATGAAGAAAGGCATAGCAGAAGTAGACTCTCCTAGACTACAACGTATGAAGATGAAATTATTAACATATGACTTAAGGCCGATCCTCGCGATTCTGGGCATAGGTAAATTCCAATGTAAAAGTTTATATCAAATAACGCAAAAACTATGGCAGATATTGAGATGATTCTTTTTTTATATGGAAGGTCTAAAAAAGTTCTAGTGCACTATTTGGTTGTAAATTAATAAATTGTTTAAACAATATTTTTTTTTCAAATATTTTTGGTTAAAATAAACGAAAAAAAATTTTTTTTTAAATAGGGCACTACAGAATTTGACCCACTTTCCGAATCTGTTTTTATTTTTAACATAAAGTGTAACACAAAGCAGCTATTTGATATAAACTTTTAAAAAATTTCAAATTTTTGCTAAACGCAATTTTCTCTCCGTCAGCACAGGGTGTCCTTGTCGGTAGCTTCTGGATTCTCGCCAGGTAGGTAAAACCCTCGGAGGAGGATAAATAAAGTTGAATAACATTATTAGGGCTTATTCCGACTTTTGACAAACCAGTGTGTTTATTGTATTTAAAATAGGAAATGTTATATAAATAAGCAGTAAGTACCTATAATTTTATTAAATTTTTATATGAATAGAAATATTTTCTGTTGATTTTCCATTTTCTTTCTAAATATTTATACTGTTTTTATAATAATACAATTGTTTTAGTATTTGCTTATATAATAATAATTTATTATATAGAAACTATTATATATATATATATATATATATATATATAATATTATATATATATATATATATATATATATATATATATATATATATAATATATATATATTATATAGAAATCTATTTTTAATTTGTATGTAATTTCTACGTACATTAGGAATTAGTAATTTGTTTATATATTAATTAATTAATAAATAGTCTAGTTTGTTTAAACAATTCGTGCAAAACAATTTTCTTCCAAAAATCTATTTTTTTTTTAATACTAGTATCAATAATCATAGAAACAGTCGCGTTTTTTTGCATTAAATTGTCAATAATTAAAAAACAGCTCCAAATTCAAGGCAAAAAAAGAAGTAGGTTTTCTTCCTAGAGGTCTACAATAACTAAAAAAGTTGTCAGCGACCTGGATTATTGAGTGTCACGAACATGGTCTATTTTTTGCTTATTTCCCTGGAGTATATATTTGATTAACATCTGTGTAATTTCTTTGTCGCTTCCTCGCTGGTTTTGCATATTGCTATGATAGCAATATCTTCGGTAAATGTTGCAATTGTATATTTTCTAGGACAATAATATAACACGTATACAAAAGGTAAAGACACTTCTTTGTGGCAGCCCTGCTGTAATATCTGTCAATTCCATGTATGTTTCTTCCTGTTTAATTCTGAAATATCTTTCCAAGATGGAGGAGTCAATTATTTGAGAGTATCGTTTTGGTAAATGTAGTCTTAGTTTATAGTTATGGCGTCTTTGCCATACTTTATCATATACCTGAGTCACATCCTAAATTATTGATATAAGGTTGAATGCTCGAATAAATGAACTTTAAAAAATGAAGGCAAATTTCGAGCACAAATTTAATAATCAAATCTTGCCCAAGTACTTTCGCTTTCTACAGCATCATCAGGGGCATCTGCGCTTGCTGGATAGACCAAATTTGACGAAGTAAGTCTAAAATGTTAATCACAAAAAACTTTTATCATCCATTAACTTCGAGTTTTTTATCGAAGTTTATTAATTTTCTTCATTTAAAAAAACTTTTCTTGGCTTATTTCAGATTCCCCTGATGATGCTGTAGAAAGCGAAAGTACTTGGGCAAGATTTGATTATTAAATTTGTGCTCGATATTTGCCTTACTTTTTCAACGTACATCCTAAAATGTCAAAATGTCCATCATATTATCCTTCATGATCCATATTTCACATCCATATAAATAGTTATACAGTATATTTCATCATCATCATCAATGGCGCTACAACTCTTCGTAAGTCTTTACCGCGGTTACTATTGCCTTCCATGTTTGTCGGTCCTGTGCCAGTAATTCCCATTGTCGCACTCCCATTTTCTCTAGATCTAGGAGTATATTTACATATAACAAATTAAATCCTTAATTGTAAATTTTTGAAATAAGTACTCAGTATACATCTAAGTTTCATAAATGCTCCTCATAAATCTCATAAATCTAAACTTTTGTACTCCGTTCTTTGTTGACAATTAGTTGCATAGGGCCGACGTTTACTAACCACAAGCACACAAGTAAATTATCTTATTTCTTTCATTTGACAATAATAATTGTCTGTTAGATTAGCACTGTAAGAAGTAAATTAGTCTCTTACTGAATGATAATAAACAACACATCAAACTTATTCTGAAACTATTTCTTGTGTCATGGTATATTTTATTAGATTTTGGTGTAATAAATCACAACCTATCAAATTCAATATCAAAAATCAAAATTGGAAATGATAGCGTGACTAAATTATTCCTTCCTTCAAGAAATTTTAAAAAGAACTGATTTCTATTACTATCCAGTGCAAGGACAGTTATTTTGTTATTTATATCGAATAGAGAATACTGTTAGTTTGCGGTATGGACCCCAAAAAATATTTTATTCGAAAAGATTGATAAATATATGGGGAATATATAACTGTGGGATAAATAACTGTGGGAAAATATGCTACAAAAATTTCAAGATTTTTATTATAATTTTTATTTGAAACACCTTCTGAAGAAACATTAGACATAATTCTATATTCATATAGTTTCATTTTATCAATTTTAATGATCGTGATACTAATTAGATAAGATTTTT